CGTCACATTCTGTCTTTGGCTACGCAGTAAAAGACCTGCCAGCACCCTCCTTCAGGTAGGCTACTGTTCGCTAATCTCCCATGGGTGTGAAGCACAGAGACCACGTCGAAGATAAACAGGTTGCTATCTTATTCAACTGACAACAAATTCCAAGCACAGCTGTCTAGCGGATCAGATGGTCTTTTCAGGATTTTTACCATTGATACTTAATGGAGGGTTCTAGGGAGACACGATACCTCCCCATGGAAGGGAAAGTATGGTGCAGTGATGTGTTGGACAAGGTTTGAGCGATGCAGGTTCAAATTCCCATTCAGGCATGTAGCATTTTGGGTAGCCCTCTATATGTTAGTCCACTACGATGAGACATGTAAAGGTAAAAAATAATCTACATCCTATTTAAATGTAAGTTATGGTGATAAAGTTCTGCTGTTATTTCCACAGAACTGGGGAGAATTCTGCCCGTAGATCATTAACCTTTCTGGGTTTATCTAGAATATAGACCCAGCAGAAGAAATTGTTGGGGCTTTTAAAAAGGTAAAGGTAAAGGTTCCCTTGCTCGAAAGCCAGTCGAGTCCGACTCTAGGGTTGCGGTACTCATCTCCGTTTCAAAGCCGAAGAGCCAGCGCTGTCCAAAGACGTTTCCGTGGTCATGTGGCCGGCATGACTCAACACCAAGGCGCACAGAACGCTGTTACCTTCCCACCGAAGCGGTACCTATTTATCTACTTGCAATTTCTTGCTTTCGAACTGCTAGGTTGGCAGGAGCTGGAACTAGAGACGGGAGCTCACTCTATCATGCGGCACCCAGGTCTCGAACTGCTGAACTACCGACCTTCCACAGCCTGCAGCTCAGCGTCTTAACCACTTGAGCCACCGCAGCTTTTACTTTTGTGTTTATATTCCTTTGAACATTTATAACAAGAGTCTGTCTGTGATCCAGTTTAGCTGCAAATGTATATCTTTTCTGCTTTATTTGATGTGAAGTAGTCAGAGATCACTGGCCAAACACTTCCTTCATGCCACTGGTTGGTAAAATGTAGCATATCTTCACAAGCATGGATGGGACTGTATGGGTTTGGGCAAGATTTGGCTTCTTTTAGTTACCCAGTAACATATTTAGTGTATTTCTGAGATCTGAAGATATAGAAAGAAAAGTAAGCATACGTTCATGTACAGGAAGATGTTTATACATTTATTTTGTTTATTATAATATTTATACCACTCCTTTCCTCTTGGCTTAAGGCGACTGTGAGAAGGAAACAAAATCACGCTGAGCTGACACAGCTTTTAGGATCTTCCAGTCAGTACAGTCATTCCTGTACAGACTGGGGGCTTGTAGTCACCAATTGTTTTACATGGATGCAAGGGGACAGTCAAGGGAGGAAGAGTCAGATCTGCCCCTCTGGCGTTTCTCTCCTAGGAAATGTGTGTCAAGGCCTTGGAGAAAAGAAGAGGCTTTCTACAGCACTGCTGTGGCTTCAGCAGTGAGCTATAGAGTGAATCCCTCTGCAAGCATTTTACAGTATTCATCAGTTTTGCCTCTATTTGTACACAGCTAGCTCAAGGTGCTAGCAGAATGGGCTGTGAGCATTTCCGTTTCTAAAACATCTTCTGAAGCGTGTCTGCCTGTCATTTAGGTATGAGTTTTGTTCCGAATAGGCCAGCCATAATGGATAGTCCTGCCCTGGGTAGATGCTTAATGGTTTCCTTTCACTTTCTTTTGCAGCTGCAGTATTGAAATATGAGAACAACGTTATGAATATCAGACAGTTTAACTGTTCCCCTCATCCATACTGGCTTCCAAATTTCATGGATGTTTTTACCTGGTCCTTGCCATTTGTTGGTGAGAAAGGTATGTCAGGCACTTTTTCTGTTGTTGACAATGAGGGAAGGAAATGTGCATGAACCAGCATTGAAAGACTGTGTGTCTGACTGTACCAGAAAGTCTGGCTCCTTTTAAGTGTTTCATAAGTTCTCAGTGGATAACATTTTTTTATGATTGATAAATAAAATGCCGTTCTGTTGGTATAAGTTCTCCCTAGTTTTGTTCCTGACCTTTTCTTGGTAGCAGTAACTTAAAGAATGCTTTCGATGAACGCATACAGCTTATTGCAAGCCAATCACAGTATCTCAGAACTCTCTCAGCCCCACCTACCTAACAAGGTGCCTGTTGTGGGGAGAGAAAGGGAAGGCAATTGTAAGCCGCTATGAGACTCCTCAGTGTAGAGAAAAGTGGGGTATAAAAACCAAATCTTCTTCTGCATGGAGAATGAAAACAAATTATAGTGTCTTTGTTTAAAAGGCCATTGCTTCATGCCAAAGTAACAGAAAATGGGGCCTTTGATAGCCGCCCTTTCTTGGGGCAAGGTAATGTGAATTCTGTGCTTAAAACCAGCATGACACAGAAGCCCAGGCAGAAGAAGATACTGCAAGTCCCCCAGTATGTCGTATTTTAATTCTTTAAGACAAGGGGCAACAAAATTTAAACTTTCCTAAACTCTAAGTCTTAAAGACAATTGTAAGCCTGGCTCCAGATCTTACTTCGGCATACTGTGCATCCCTTCTGCCCCCCCACCCCCCGCAGCTCATATCCTCCTCACTTTGCAACTCGTGAGCACAAGGAAATAATGATTTTTAACTGGCTTGTGTAGTAGACAAAGCTCTAACTTGCTTAGTGATTTTTACACTAATCCTTGTTACAGTATTTCTACTCATGTCAAAATAGAGAAGACATTACAATTCTTTTTGCTGTTCATTCTTCAATTTCTCTGGCTACTGCACATGACTTTAATTTGGAAAAAAAATCCATTGTGCCTGTTCCCCAAATTTTGAAACAATAGCAGTTTTAGTGGTGCCTTCTATTTATAGAAGCTGTTCAGCTTTTACTTAGCTTTCTGCCCATTGTAGCTTAGTATTGCACAGATGTGATTTCTAGGGGCTGTTTCATGTATTATGTATTTTAAGGTATGTGGGGTTTTTAAATTTTATACCTGGAAAATATAATGTATGAATGCAAGGAGCATATAATTGAAAACTCCTTTATAGGTGTTCTCAACCAGCCATGAGATCAGCTGTGGGTTCCAGTATAATTCATACAAGGCAACAAACACTGGTTTTCACTGCATGATATATGTAACTGAGCTAAGATTACAGGCCTACTGTGTGTTTAGGGGCATTCCCCCACTCCACCCCTGATGTGCTCAAGGATGCCCTACATCTTGGTTAGAAGTAAGAGTAGTTTGGGAATTGCCTTAGACTGACCTCTGAGTTCAATAGAGAAGTCAAACATACTGCCTTTTCAGCAAAAAAATCAAAAGCCTGCTGGTGCAGTAGGCTCCTGGCCTTAAAAAGATGCTGTCAGCTTGTATTAACAACCACATAGTGTTAGGTTTAGGTTCTTTTATTGAGAAATATAGACACTTCAGAAATGCCTTCTTTCCCTGTTTAGGCATTGCTGAGCTAAAATATCTTTCATTTAGCAGCTTGCATCACCCAGCTTAGCATGTGGAGCTACCTTACACTGTGACTGATCACTGGTCTATCTGGCTCGTTACGGTTTTCAAGATCTTAGTCAGGGAAAGCTCTTTCCCAGTGCCAGCTGCTTGAGACCCTTTTAACTGGGAGTGCCAGGGATTGAAACTTTAGAAGGAAAATGGGGTGCTCTCACACTTCCTCATGATCTCAGCCTTGGACACTAAATGAGGCAAAAAGAGGGATAAGCAGCTTAAGCTGAATATCAGTGCCTGGAGAACTAGAAGGCTTCACATGGCACAGCCCCAGCCGTAGGTCCTAAGCTGCCAGGTGTCCAAGAGCTGCCTCCAGCACAGAGCTAACCTGTTCATCCTCTTTTTTCTGGCCCTTTAAATGAAGTGAGGACAACAGCTGTTGCATTGCACCTCTGTGCCTTCAGAATCCCCCAGATCAGGTGCCAGGACAGTCACCTCCAGTTATCTTCTTGTTGCCATATCCCTCTGGTCCTGCTGCCTTTGAGCAGTCTGCTTTGAGAACGAGAACTTGCTGGTCCTGTCTTTCTCCTAGCAGTGAGGAAATTATTTCAGCTCTCCTGACTGACTCTAAAGGCCTTTCATGCCTCCTTTATATAGGACCATCTGATAGGGAACTTACATGGTGAAAAACAGAGATCCTTCCTGTTCAGGTCAACTTTCTTCCAGCTGCCTTGAATCACATCCAGCTGGCCCAAGCGCTGCCCTGACAGTTTCCCTGAGACTGTGGAATGTAGTGTGTGACACTCTGAACAATAAGCTTCTGACAAAAATTTACTTTTATATGCAGACACTGAAGGATGAGTGTATTTAGAAACAGGAATCTTACTGTACCATTTGACAATCAATGGTACTAGTCATCCCTTATTACCACACGAGAACCTGGCTTTCACTCTCTACATATTCTTACATACTATAGTAAGCATCTTTGCTATGGATTTTCTTGTGTGCATTTTTGTGCAATGGCCATTCATGAATGCTGCTCCGTTGACCATCCTTTCACACTACCTCTTGGGGTTTGTCCAGCTCTCATCTCTGCCATTTGATTTCCTTTTTAGTGACAGAAATGCTGGTCAACGTGCTAAACATTTGCTCAGATGATGAACTTGGAACGGAGGAAGATGGCTTTGATGGTAAGAATCATGTGCCTTCTGTTGAAGAGGTTTGCTCTGATTAACATTTGTGCCTGCAAATCTTAATCTCTTCATTAATCTTAAAGCAAGCTCGGAGTTGGGGGTGGGATCTGGGAGAAGCTCTCTGGAGCATAGTTAAACTCTTCAGGGGCTGCGGTCACACGGAGCATTAGCCACGCTACAGAGATGGAAGATAGGCGGATTTTCCGGGCGCAATCACAGCGCCACATCTGGGAAGCGTAGAGCTCCCATGGCGAACCCGAGGCTTCCTGCCGAAGATGCAGGGTAAAAAACTAGTACCTCTGAGGTACTAGTTTACGGAAACCACGGGGCAAGGGCGGGCGCCTGATCGCGTTTCCGGTGGTAGGTTGTGGCATTCGGCGCCCGCCCAAGTCCCGTCACTAAAAGGTTTATTTTTTTCAAGTCTCCACGGGATGCGCACAAGCACCCAACAGCGCATGCACACACTTCATTTAAAAACAAACAACACAGCCCCCTCCTCTTTTCCGTACCTCCCCCCACTCCTGGCTCGGCCTGCTCGAGAGGAACTCTCTGCACTGGGCAGCAGAGGGGGAGGTGCAGGGGGGCGTGGCAGGAGGGCGGCCCGGCTGAAGTTCCTCCTGGAGGGGACTGGATGGAGGACACGTTGCATTCCTCTGCAGCCCTAGAAGGGGTTAAACCCGGAGCCTTTTCCTAGGGAGGCCGCTTCTTTGCCGCGCCGCAGGATTGTCCTGTGATCGGCACCTCCCCCCTAACCACGGGACCTCGACAGGACGTCTGATCCCGCAGCCGCACATTATTTTGCTCCAGGGCAAACAGCCATGCTTCCCCCCGCATTTTCCTGCCCGTGTGACCGGGGCCAGGGTTGCCCAAACCAACTCTCCTGCTAGACTTTGGTTATGAGTGTTTTATGCATGGTGTGTAAAAAGAGAATGGAAAAACATATGTTCTTTTGCTCCTCTTCAGCCCAAAATGGCAAACAATTTTTCACATATTTTGTTCCTCATATTAAAATTTCTTTTCCCTGTATCCCAGAATAGTTGAGTATGGGAGGCCATGATGGGTAAAGTGGTGCTAGTCATTTATATTAACAGGATGTCAAGGGGACTTGGGGCAAACAAGTGACTGGTGTGGCTCTGATTCTCTGTTTAACAAAACACTAAATAGTTCATCTTAAGAAGAATGTTCTGTTACTGTGAAAGGGACTTCTCAGAATCTGAAGAGAACAGTGGTTGATCAGATCCAGATTTGTGTAGCAATGCAGGTTCATCCACACATTAGCATTCCTTCAGCAATCTGCCTGACCCAAGTCACGTTGCTTAAGATAGAAAATCTTTGTAGTCTCTATTTAATCTGACTTGGAGGAAAAGTTCTCTCCTGACACCCAAATAGCAACCCAAATTGCTGCAACATATGAAGATGACCACTAATTTAACTTGTTTTAACTATTGTATGAATTTTTGCTGGGTGAGGTTATCAAAGGCTGTGACAGAAGAAGGTCAGAAGCATTCTGGAGACAAAACCAGACATCTCCGTTATGTCCTGCTTGTGAGCTTCCAAGGGATATTAGGCTGGCTGCTTTAGGAGATCAAGATATTAGGAGTAGAAAGCGCTCGTCTCTGATCTAGCTAGACTGTCTTTCATTCTCTCTCCACTGGGGCCAAAAGCAGTAAATCTTCACTTACCAGTTCTAAAGTTTGGGTGCTACTTAGAACTACAGAATTAAGTATACAGACCAGGGACACTGCAATTTTAGTTTGCGTCTAAGGACCAAACTACATGATATATGCAAATAGGGGATTGTAAAACGTGCCAGCAGCCACTAATAGGGGAAGGCAACTTCAGGAAGGGGACAATTTGAAGTAGAAAAGTAGTGGTGTTTAATCCTTCCACCACCACCAGTTATTCTGATGCTACTCCTCGGGCCGCCAATCTTCTAGACTCATGTATATTCATCCCTGATTACAGAAAGATGCTTCTCTGGATATTTGGTACAGAGGGTTTTTTTTTTCCTGACCAGCTAATTAAACTTTTGCTTAAGGTTCTTCCTTCTTCAGAAAGAATAACTCTTTAAACCATAATAAGTCTAGAGTTCTTAAATACACACACACACACACACACACACACAAAAGTAGATTTCAACTGTTATTTCCCGCCCAAGCTTATTTATGTGGCTCAACAAATACAGGAGTGGCTTAATAGCCAGACATTCTTCAAATCACCCCTGTGAGTCCTTCAGCTTGCTAAGGGCTTAAGAGAAAGGCAATTTTATCTTATCTGTACTGGAAAATGGAGAAGATAAGGCATGACCAGAGAACCTTCAAAACAGCATGAGAAGTTTCTGCTGTTTTTTCCAGACTCTGGTTTGCTGACCAGGGATCTGTGGGGTTGATGAGCAAGTGCCCCATCTCCCTGGTGAGTGGTATTGTAGGGTCTTTGGTTTAGTGGTGGTGAGCTGAATCTCTAAAATGTAAGAAAAGACTTTTAGCATGCCATGTCTGCTATATTTCTTCTCAGCATGGCACTCTTCGCTTGAGGTCAGCAGTGCATATTGCATTAACTGGAGGGTTTCAATTATGTTATGGCCTAGGACTTCCAAAGTCTTTTAAAATGAGTTGGTCATTATTGAAAACTGTACTGTTCTAATGAAAAATCACTGAATTGTTTTGAACATTATTTGGAATTATAGCTCAACTGATTTCAAGAGTCCAACTCTAGGCTGTGTGTCTTGAATAACTTTCTGCTTTTTTATTAATGAAAAGTGGAGCAAAATACTTAAACTTTTTTTAGAAGGCTTAAACCTCTCTCTCTGTGTATGTTTGTGTGTCTGCCTACTAACGATAATTTTTTTTACAATGTACAATTTCTGAACAAAAAGTAATTCACTAAAGAATGTAAGAAAAAGTAAACATAAAACTGAATTGATCTTGAGACACCTTATATTTGAAATATCACTTCCCTCTCCTGATTCCACTGTCTGTTCCATGTGGTTGGTCTCTGCATAAGTACAACCTAGTCCATGGGGCTCCCAATGGAAAAGACTTCTAAACATGGGACAGCACTCAGGACTGAATTTAATAGCTAACGTGAAAACCTGTATGATAGCTTTATCATATATGTATAGTGAGATGAAGATACACCTATGTCATTTCACAGATGCCTCGCTTGTCATTTTAGTTCATTATGATGATGTGTTAATGTGTCAATTTCTACAGACCTTTCAGTGTATCAAACGCTTCTAAAGTCTGCCATAACAGAAATAACTTGTTTTAAGTTAATACCTATACTTAAATGGAATAATTTTCATATCACTTCTTTAACAAAAATAATTTTTATATCACTTCTTTAAAAACTTCTTCCCCCACTTGCTGTACTTAGACTATCTTTTCCCCATTTTGAAGGCTGAGACAGATTTTGTTTTGTGCTTCGAAAACTTGTTAATTTTTTCTAAAGTTTCTTTGTTTAGGACCCCCAGTTTCAAATTTTCATAGAGAAGCTCTTTTGTGTTCCTCTAGAATACTTTTATTTTTCTTTAAAGTTCCTCTAGAATACTTTTATTTTTCTTTAAAGTATTTTAATCATGCATTTGCAACCAAAATGTTCTTGAGGCAGATTACAATACCACAACAAATTCATGTAAGTCGAGTAATAAAAAGCTATAGGAACCATAAATGGCACTAAATCAACCATCCAACACCAGTAAGATAGCAAATGATGGAGCCTGCAACCAAGGCACCAACTGTGCTGGATGGTACAGAGAAAAGGTAGTAGTAGCATTTAATAGCTGAGTTGTCTTAAATTAGGTACTACTAACATTTTTTACAGTTTTGTTGCCATGTGCTAATTTCACTCTTCAGAAAGTTCTATTCCTTATGTATAAAAAGAAGCCAAAGACTTTCTTTCTTGCTAGTTAATGTTGTGTGGTCAGCTTAAATACTTGGCATACTAAATACTTGGCATGTCTTCCCCTCTTTATTTACTATGTCACCTCAGCCCATTGTCCCCTTCAAAGATAGGGTTGGTTCTTTTGTGAAAGCAGGTTAGTTTGTGAAAGCAGGAGCTAGCTTTCAGGTGATCATCAGTTCCTACTTTTGATCACAATGGCTCTTTCTCCTGCCTCACTCTGTTTATTTAATATAACTATTTTAAAAATACAGTTTAACATCTGCCATGTAGTGTGCGGTACATGCTATAGACTTGGAAGAATCTTTGCTTCTAAATTCATATGGACAGGGTAAGGACTGATGACTTATGCAGTTACGATAGGCTTTCTATTGTTTCCTGTAGCTATTTGTTCTGGCTTGTTAATCTGCCTTCCTTAAGGAAGGGGGGGTATGCAAGTAGTACAATATATCTCACTTTATTTCAGCTTATACTCTTGCTTATTTATCATCACATAGTTTTTGCAGGTTTAATGTTAAGCAGTGTGCAGATTGGCCAAATGAGTTGTATATGTTTCCTAGCAACCTGGACTAGTCTATATAACCAGCGCACACCTTGACTTACTATTCTAATTAACAGTGTTCCTGGCTTAGGTACTTTGGACTGAAATAATTAAAGACTTTAGGAGGTACTAATTAAAATTAAGCCCTTGTAAGACAGACAGCTTGACATAAAACGTAAGACTTGATTTGTCTTCACCCTCATCAATAGCACAAAAACCTTTCTTAACTATCTGGGGCTAATTTTATATTGCTTTAATGTAGATTTGCTGAAATATAACTGTAGTAGTTTTAAATATACATTTAATGGATCAGAAAAGCTACAGGTTAATTGTAACAGATAAGAGTGTGACCAGTGAATATTCCATCTTGAGGAGTTGGTTGATAACACACTAGGAATAAAATAAGGGTTAGTCATCAAATTGCCACTCCCCTCCAGAGAACTGTCTGCAGAGGTGGATTTAGGGATACGTAAGGTGGGCTACGTTTAGGGCCTCAAACAAGAGAGGCTTCAAATAAGAAAAAAAGACTGTGATTTGTGCTTTTATGAATGCAAAAATAAGGGTTTTCAGTGTCCTTTGTGTGAGAATAATGAAAAAGTATTTCTATAGCATGCGGCCACTTCAACTGGTAATATTTAGGGCTTCATCGCGTCACAATCTGGCCCTGGTTGTGTGCATAATACCTATATATTTAAACAAGCCTTTTATTTGTGGCAGTCCATGAGCCCATGCTGTTATTTTCCGAAGAGGTGAAAGCTGCTATTAAAGAAAATGCTTGTATAAACTGTTAGTGCTGTTGCAGGCATTTTGTTTGCCTTCTGAATCATATTCAGTTGTCACAGACTAACTAAAATTTGTTCATAATGTGAACAAGACCAAAATTTTCCTCGCTCCTTGGAGCCAAGATCAAAGACTTCTTCATTTAGAAAATTTTGGATATAGCCATAATTTGTTGTGATATTGGAATTCAGGCAGTTTTAGAACTTGTCTTGCCTACTAACTGGAATTCTAAACTGCAGTCCTGGTTTATAATCCTAGTTTGTGGGAATGTATCAAATCACAGCTTCTTAAACATCCAGTTTTGGTCACCATAACAAATCATTGTTAAACAAAGGCTTCCTGGATTGAGAAGTCTTCAGTCTTGATGATGAAGGAAGGATTGCACAAGTCCAAATCATGACTGGTTTTTCTTTGAATATAGTCCAGCAAACATGTATGGTGAGCTAAAAGGCTTCCACAACACTTTATATTTGATGGCAGATTATTAAAATAGTTAGAATAGGAGGGACATAGTGGTGATGGATGAGTAATCAACATTATCAAGTGAACTAGGGACACCTTTTGTTGTCAGTATATCTTCCAGATAATATTTAAAACACCGAAAGGTATGAAGTTGGAAATATGACAGTAATGATCTTCTGTCTTCAAATTAGACTTTCAAGTATGCCCTGTCCTCCTTAGCTCAAGATTATCTTTGTAAACAGCAAGGATTAGAATCTTGATTACATAAATCACATCTGAGATTTTCAGAGCTGTGATGTGTTTTGGTACTTTAGATCCTAACTGGTATAGTGTGGACTGAAGTTTTTAATGACATATATCCTTGTTGGGTGGTAACTGCATAACAAATCTACTGATACCTATGTAAAATATATGAAGGACATATCCTTTCTCATTCCACTTCTTTCATCTCATTTCTCAAAACGCCACTACATTTTTTCCTCCTTACAAAAGTGCTATCCTATAGAATCATAGAATGCTAGAGTTGGAAGGGACCTTGCAGGTCATCTAGTCCAAATCCCTGCACTCTGCAGGAGCGTAGCCGAAAGATAGCCCTACAACATACCCGAAAGATGGTCATCCAGCCTCTGCTTAAAAACGTCCAGCGAAGGAGCAATCCTAAATAGAATTACACCCTTCTAAATTCATTGAACTAAATGGGCTTGGAAGGGTACAACAGCTTAGGACAGTAGTGTGAGTAACATAGCTGGTCTTCTGGGATTTTAAGTTCTCAGGGCTCTCACAAAATTGGGACGGATGTAAATTGCTAGCCTATTCCTACCCAATTTATTACATAGTAAAATGGCAGTTTCCATAGCACAAACCAACCAGCCACTAAATAGTCACTGTAAGTAGTACTCCTGTTAGTTCGTCCTACTCTCATAACATTAAAGCAACAATCGTTACATTATAAGTGCATTGAGATCAATGAATTTTCAAATAATGTGTTGGATCTGAGTGTAATGGCACCAGTGGCAGCTGGCCAATCACAGAAGACTGCATCTGTTTTGGATTCAAATGATTAGCTGCTATTTGAATTCTTTTGCCATATATTTTATTTCAGTAGCTATAATTTGTTTAAGCTACTTTTTAAACTAGTAATGAATACTGGGCATGATTACTGCAGTAAATCAGGGAGGGAGGATTGGAAACTGTAAAAGTGCAGATCCCCTAAAAACTATTCCTTACTCTTTTATGCTTTACTTTCTTGTTGGAAAATAAATCTGAAGAATATTTCCTTTATCCAAGCAGCATTTTAACTATTTTAGCATGAGTTTTTGCCTAAAACGTACGCATACGTACGTATGAGAATTCTTTTTTCCAAGAAAGAGTCAGATTGGAGATGGACCCTGGAGATTGCAGGTACAAACAGGCTTATCAGTGATCTGGTACAGCCCATATAATATAGAATCTTCAGCCATGTGCACAACCTTTCTTCATTATGGGACAAACTGACAAAATTAAGGAAAGATGTCAAATGGAGAGTGTAGGCACAGCCCTTGACCCAGATACTCACACATCAGCTGCAAGTCACTGGCTAGAGGCAAGTGACAAATGTGCAGCCAACCTCTTCCTATTTGTGGATAGAAGTAAAGTATGGCTGAAATCCATTCTTCCTTGGCTACTTCTTGTGTTGGTTGTCATGTAAGACTTGTGTCTTTGAAAAGATCCCCTAAAGTAGTGATTGCATGCCATGAGCAGCATGGGCAGCAATGGACCAGCTTTGCGGTTGTCTTGCTGCATTTTAGTTTTCTGCACAATTTTACTAACAAAGCTTTGAGCTGAAGAGTGTTTTCCTGTCATAGATCTTTCCATTCCTTTTCAGTGTTCCCTGCCTAATATGTTTCTTTTCTGTTTTTCAGACTTTACTTAAGCATTACTTTCCCATTGATGTTGTTGTGTTTTATACATTTTTTCCTTTTAATTCTCCAATCTTCATCTGTTTCTTTTCCCCCCTTTGGAATTTCATAAGAAGATCCTATGTATGCACAGAAGAAAGGTATTTCTAAATGGGCAAGAAGGGCTTAATATGCTGTTGTGACTTTTCCAAGTACTAAAATTCAAGATTTTCCTTCCTATCCTTAGTATTAAGCCTTGCTTTTTATATTTCTTAATCCTATCAGGTTCTTGGCCCTCTACCACCCACCAGTACATACTTACCTTGACATTAAATATTAAGCATGTGACTAACCTAGAGTTAGGACAAATGCTATGTTGGTCTCAGAGAAGCCCAAAGTACATATAATAGCAGCTGACCTATATCTTTAACATGCTGTCCTACTTATGAGTAAACTGGGGTGGGTGTGATTTAAAGAGCCCTAAAGGTGCAGGACTAAGGAGCTGAAAGCTGGTAACCCTGTAAGACTTTCTTCCACTTGATTTTCTTTTTCTCACTGGGAAGAAAGCACTTGGAAGGTAAGAATTTATTATTGCCTGCTCAAGAGCCCCTTCAGCCCTTTAAATCACATACCACATTTTAAATGTGAATTGGGAAAATATTTGCTGCCATCATTTGTAGTTCGATCCTTTGAGACAGGGAACTTGATGGTGCACATCTGGCATTATATTACCAAGCCTCAGTAATGAGTGCTACGAAGGTGGGAATAAGGTATGTGGGGGGTGTATTACCTGTAAAGCCACCTTGACCAAGAGGAAAGGCAGGGTGTTAAATATTTTAATAAATAAATATAAACCACACTGATGTATGTGGAACATTGGGTCAGTAATTGGACACACAGTGCCCAGTCTTGCACATGGCATAGGATTACTCACTAGAAATATATTAACATTCCATATGTCAGTGGTCGCTGTAGCTCAGTATTCTCTCTACTGGCCAGCAGGTTTGGGGCAGAAAAGGATCTTTCTCAGTATTTGGTTTAGCTGTAGAAGCCAGGGATTGAATCTGCATACCATCTGCATACAAAGCATATGCCCCATCACAGTGCCTCCCCCATTAATCATGACACCACATCAGGTGTCACTTTAATGGCAAAGAATACATGTATTTTTAATGAAATATATTTATACCATATGTTACCCATTTTCATCACAAACTATACAGATTTGTAGTAAAGTATTGGCAGTAGAAGCAGAGTTTCATCTTTGGTCTTCTATGCAGTCCGACATTGGGACTGCACCTAGGCAGGTCTACTGCCAGAGAGAAATTTCTAGTTAAACCACTAGGGGGTGGTGTATGCAGTTGTTCCCGCCCAAAAGGTCACATGCTTCCTTCCCTCAGTTCCTTCTTTGCCACCATCAGAGTTGTTCTTTTCTAGCATGCTCTTGCTTCTTCAATCGTTTTTCACTATCTACTGCTTGGATTCGTGAGTCTTCTTCCTGACAATTGCTACCAAGGCTTTTCTTAGCCTTTCGGAGGGTTTTCCCCCTACCTTTTGTGCTGAGTTCATCTAATGGGTTCTTTGGAAATGCTTGCTGGTACCATGTCCCAGAAGGATTATTTTTAAATGCACTAAATGCAGTGCGAGAATGACCCAAACCGATGATTATGACATATGCCTACTCTGCCTGGGAGAGGGTCATAACGTGTCTGCTTGTAGAGCCTGTCAAAGGTTTACTCAGAAATCCTGAACTGATAGGGTTTCCAAATTAAAAGCAGCTTTATGGGAGAAGGCTCCAAAATCAGTCGGCACCTTAGTATTCTAAGTCGTCACCATTAATTTTGGTTAGGTTGGTTCCATCTGCAGTGTTCCTAGCCCCAATAGCCCCGGTCCCTCACACCCTTGCCATTGGTTCAGAGAAGCTTTTCAGAACCGCTAGCTAAATCTTCCAAATCTAAATCAAAACACAAAGGGAAGCATTTGGAATTGAAACAACACTGTCCACCACCTCTGGAACCATCACCGCGGGTCGTAGTCGAGGTATTCTTAGCACCACCTAAAACACCTTCTCCACCTCCCTTCTTAGCACCACCTAAAACACCTTCTCCACATGCTGAATCACCTCCCATATCCTCCTTGGAGGGCAGGTTAGAAGCAGAATGAGAAATGGCTCCACCTCCAATTGGTTCCAATGTGGGACTGTCGGTTACATGGCCACCAGCACCGTTAATGGTTCCATGGCTTCCATAGCCTTTCTTTATGTCCCCACCTTACTTAGCTAAATGGGAAGATTATTACAGCTTGATGTTGAAGTCGGTTCTGGGGCATATTCGCCAGTTCCCTCTGCATAAGACTGCTCTGTCTTCCACAGTGTCAAAGAAACCTCCATCCCCAGTTCTGGAGTCCGAAGCAGAGGACATGGAAGCAGGGTTCCAAGGCCAGTTCCGATGTGGCATCGGAACAGAGCCCTGTTGAAAGAGCAGGAGAGTTGACTTCTGTTTCCCCTACAGAAGATTTGAAAATGTATGGTGAGCAAATGCTCAGGATGGCTCTATCCTTAGACATAAAAGTGGCCACCTCAGACCACTGCCCTAAAGATAAAATATTGGGCTGGTTGTATTCTGACATTCCAGGAGGATATAGCTTTTCCTGTATTAGAAGGCCTTCTAGAAAACACCCTAGATTTATGGCCTCCATTCCAGCCACATCCCATTGCATGAAAGGTTTTTATAGGATCAGTCAGGACACTGTTCCTGACTACACATCCTTCACCATTTTCACTCATCATTGAGGAGATGCAGCACAGAGGTTGCCAGGCTTCTCAAGCAGCCCTGACAGATAAGGAGGGCAAAAAAAAAAAATCAACGCACTGGGAAGGAAGAAGAGTTGCTTTTATACCCTGCCCTTCACTACCCAAAGGAGTCTCAGAATGGCTTACAATCACCCTCCCTTCCTCTCCCCACAACAGAAACCCTGTGAGGCAGGTGGGGCTGAGAGAGCTCTGAGAGAGCTGTGACTGATCCAAGGTCACCCAGCTGGCTTTATGAGTGTGAAATCAAACCCAGTTCTCCGGATTATAGTCCGTCACTCTTAATCACTACACCAAACTGGCTCTCATCCACTCCTCTGCAGTGTTAGGCCTGCATGTGTCCAATTATCAAGCCATAATGGCAGGTTATCAGTTCTTCCTTTGGGAGAAACTGACATTGTACCTAGAACTGATTCTAGAAGAGGGCATTAGCCAAACTCATTCAAACTGAAGCATTTCATTTGTCCAACAAATCAGTACGGGCAGGCATGGGGCAGACACTGCAGTCAGATCTATGGCCACATAGGTTGTTATTAGTTAAGGCATGCCTGGTTGAGATCTACGTCTCTGCCATCAAAGACCAGATAGAGGGTCAAAGATCTGCTGTTTGAAGGGTCCACTCTTTTTCCAGAAAAATCTGATTAGGCTCTTACTCAAATAAAAAAGAATAGACAGACAGTGAAATCTCTTGACATTATGCCCTTGGGACCTCCACAGTTTAGGCAAAGAACGTACCCTCGACAGTACTGGCATCCCTGTACTAGGGAACATCCTCTGCAGGCCGCCAGCAGTATCCTGCACCCAGGATATCCTTCTGCCCCCTCAGCCATATCATAGGAAGAGAAACGGTGCCCTGCCTAGAATGGGACAATAACCCCAAGCCTCAAAAGAGTCTCATCATTCATCTCATAAGGCCAATTTCTGACTACATGAACCCTCAATACCAATCATATTTGGGGATTGATTGAACAGCTTTCTAGAGGCTTGTATACTCATAACATCAGATGCCTAGATTTTATCCATTATTGCGCAGGACTATAAACTTGAGTTCACTACCTTGCCCCCCTGCTGGGAAGCTAAGAATGCAGTAGATAGCTCCCTACCTGTTGAGAGCCGAGCCAGTAGTAGCACCAGCTACTCTGTTAGAGCATGGAATGAGTAAGGCAAGAGCATCAACTCAAGCAGCAAATATCTGGTCCAAGGTCAAAGCACAGAGTCAGGAGCTGTCAGTAGACCAGTCCGAGAGTCAGTCTGTACAGCAAGATCTGGAAATCCAAGAGTTATGTATGAGCAGTTTCAAGGGCGAGATGAAGGCAGAGTCAGGGGTATGATCCAAAGAATCACAGGAGCGGCAGGATCTGATGCAGTGGTCACAGCATCAGAGGGATTTCAACTTGTTGCTTCCACACCTAACAGCCTCCCTTAGCTGATTTTTATAGCTATATGCTGAAGAGTCAGGCTTGCAGCCAGCTGCTCCAGAGTAATCCTGCAGCTACTCATCTTTGCTATCAGCAAGCAGCTGGCGTCGGCCAGGAGGCGTGCACTTTTTCATCTCCCCCGTAGATCTGTTCTTAGCTTCCATCTGCAGTGCTGTAAGGGTGTTGGTGATACTGGAGGGCTAGAAATGACCAACTGAGTTTCACTTATTGGATCAGGGCTGAAGGGTGTCGGAGGCTCTGCACCAGCTGTTGGCTGTGAACCCTGACAAGTCTGCCACTCATCTTCCTGCTTGCCTGCTTCTGCTGATTCAGAGCTGGCTACATGGGGCTACTCTTCTCCTGACTTGTCTTTTCATGAGGAGCCCTCACTATTGCTAAGCTCTGACTGACCCACAACACTACCAGAGTTAGAGAATGAATTGTGTTCTCACTTTAAAAGGGGAGCTATTGAGCCGGTTCAGAACCCAGATGACCCAAAAGGCTTCTATTCCCATTTTTTCTTAGTGGGGACAAAAGGCTGGGGGTAATAGACCCATCCTAGACATACAACATTTGAATTATTTTCTATCAGATACAAAATTGCAGATGGTGTCTTTAGTATCTGTTCTCTAGTTATTAAAACAAGGTTCATGGTTCATAGTTCAAATGTCCAAATGTGTGGCCTCCATGGTTGCATACTTACACTTGAAAGGGTGCACTATCTACCCATAACTTAATGATTGGTTACATCAAGAGATGAGTTACTTTCCCATCTTAGGCCTACTCTTCAGAGTTGTGATTTGTGAGAACCTTGGCTTGGCCATCAACTGGAATAAATCTAAGTTAACCCTTACCAGACCTGTTCAATTTTGAGGGGCAGTATTGGACTCGATGGCAGAAAAAGGGTTCCTCCCCACAGAGAGGATTTGGGCTA